GTAGGCACAAAGTATGAAGATTTTTGTATCACACGTCAGTACATACCGGAGAGCATCCCCCACAGACAGGAATTGAAAACTAAGTTGATTAAATGACTCAGCCACTTCGTCACTGGCACAATAGGCATATGAATGGAGTTGGCCACAGTGGTAGAGATGGAGGCTAAACATAGGCCCAACAGCACAGAACCCCACATACCAAAACTCATCTAGCCCCTGCTGCCTCGGAATGTCCAATCTGCCAGCAAGAGACCAATGTTCAGCCCAGAGACAGCACTGTTCCTTGAGGAGCCCAACCAGCCACTTGGTGGCAAATCAACTCCATCAGGCCCCTTCCATCCTGGCTGGGCCAGCAGTTCATCCTCACAGGGATAGAGATCTCCGGGAATAGGTTTGCTTTTTCTTCCCACAGAACCTCAGCCAGCACCAATATCCAGACGTTCAGAGAGTACCTAATCCTCCACTATGGAATTCCATCCAGCCTAGCATCCGACCGGCACACCCACTTCCCAGTGAAGTTAGGGAGTGAGTCCATAACACTAAGTCATCTATATTTATACTGGTCATATATGCGCTACACCGTCCAGAAGCTACCAACCTCAAAGAGCACTGGAATGGCCCACTGAAGGCACAACTGAACCACTGGCTTCAATAGTCTGAGGCAGGAATCTTAAGAGCTGGGTGCCATCCTTCAGGATCTAGTATTTGCATTACATCAGAAAGTTGTGTGGGGCTATGTCCCTAAGGAAGAGCACATGGGTCTAGGAAGCAAGAGGCAGAAGGAGGAGTGGCCACACTTACCATTACTTCCAAGCACCCACTGAGGGACACTCTGCCTTGCAAAGCTGCAACTCTAAGTGCTGGTTCCCAGAGCTATATTCTGTAGGTCCTAGTGCACTGAACCACGAGCAGCACCTGCCACCCGCGTATTTTGGACTCCTTATGTCTGAGGACCAGCAGACAAGAGTCACCATCTTGGCAGAGATAGTTGAGCCTGAACAACAGGAGGAGGCAGGAATGAGTAAAACATATGCAGAACCCAGGGCTTCTTATACAAATAGCTGATTCCAAGCCTGAGACAGAAAATGTAAAAGATGAGCCTGGGACATCTTGAAATTCCACAAAGCAACTACCAAGTTCATATTAAACAACTCGGGAAGCAATTTGAAGAGGCTTCCAACTGCCAAGATGGGACAATAAAGATAGTAACTGCAATGGAACGAAACTCATCAAATACACGTTAAGTCCATGAGTTCATAACGATGTTTTTAAAAGATAGCCACCTTCTGAGGATAACTGGGAACCAGTCAGTACATTATCTTAAAAGTTAACAAAAGTAAAGAATTAAGCACTTACCCTGCCTTTCCTATAAACTCTACTGAGAAATCAAATACATGAAGGGCAGCATCTCCTTATAAAATTATTCTACCTAATAAATGAAACAAAATGGTAGATCAGAATATCCCCATGTTGCAACCCCCCCCCCCGTGAACTACTTACAGGATGATATTTGCTAACACCAAAAAAAGTGAACACCAGACATGATGTGCCTCCTGATAAACGAGTACACCACAACCTAGAGTCTCCTCAAAGGGATCAATCCGGAGGCAAATCAGGTCCCTGGATTTTTTGCTGTTTTACAGGGAATACAGTTGCTGATTTACAGGGAATGCAAAGGATAAAGGAGCACATTGAACTGCACCACCAGCATGAAATTAGCAAAACCCAGGCTGTGGGAAACTACAGATCATACAGCCCAGGTTCTTCAAGAGACAAACTGTAAGGAAAAGAAAGGAGTAGGGGGAGCCCTTTAGATGAAAAGACTTAATAGATGTATCAAGTTAAAAAGGAAACCAATTCGATTTCTATAGTATGTAGGGATGTACACTTGGGTGATAAAACAATAAAGAAACTCAAGGAAGTGGTTAATATAAAGGTCACAAGGTTGGAAGGAAGGAGGCGGATGCTCACTCTGTAATGATCCACTGAGTTCAGTTGCATGCTCGTTGATTTATCAGTCCCTGAAATCTCAGAATCTGAGAAGCCCTGAATTAGAGCAGGTGCAAGAGCCAAAGCAAGCAGCACTTGAGCTGAATGCACGTGATCTACCCAGGGCTGCTGGAGAGGCAGTTGACTCAAGTGTCCTTGAAATACTGAGCTACTAAACACGCCTGTGCTCCTAAATCACACATCCTTCCAAAAAGGATTTGCAGATTATAAAGCAAAACACAGTAGAAAGTGAGGCATTCACAGCAGAATCAGCTGTGAGGAGCAGAGAGATAGACAGTCCCAAGAGAGCCTCGATTTCTAAAACAGGACTGACACTCACCTTCTCAGCAACGTCTCCTGGAAAGGGTGTTGCTCCTGCACTGTTTCGGCTGACTGAGGCTGCCAGCACCCTCCACTAAAGCACATAACTAAGCACATGACACCCACCACACAGAGCCATGACCGACTGGTCAGCTGTACAAGTTCTGTCTGTACAAGACCACATACAGAAAGGGTCATTTAACTCTAACTGCCATGAGCACTGGCTCCAGTAATCAGCACCTAAAAGCTGGAAGAAGATAATAAAGAAGAAGCACTGCTAGGTTACCTAAAAGAGACTCCCCCCCTTATTCCCTGAGACATAAGGCCCCGCCATGGGGTGAGTCGGCTGTGGGTTGTCTGCGATTTTCAGGCCACACACTGCACTCGAGACACACAGTTGCCACATCTCAGCCCAGCAGTTGTGCTCTGACCACAGGTTTCTATGTCTCACGTCGTAGGAGGGCCCAAAGCAGCGGGACTCGTCTTCACGGGTGGAAGTGTGTACTAAGAATGCCACACACAGGTGACACAGCTCTGGTGACATGGTGCTGGCAGCATGTTGTCTCTCCTCAGTCCATATCTACCAAGCACCAGCAAAGTTCACGAGCCCACAAATCTGCTCCCCTCCCCGTCTCAGACTTGACTCTGGCACTAGACTTCCCTGAGCGTCACAATCTGGCTGGCTCCTGCACATCTGCACACCTGTGCTCACACGGTTCTACCTGCAACACCCACTCCCTCTGACAATCCCCCACCACCCTAAGCACAGCTCACTATGGTCACTACCTTCCCTGGTGTCCTACTGCCCCACAGCAGCACTTGCCTCTGAGTTCCTTGAGGACTGGGGGTCTGGGTCTCAGTCAGGAGCCAGGGCTTGATACAACAGGGCAGTAACAACCACCAAGGTTCATCTAGCACTTACTGCACACCTGACCCTGTTCCAGACTTAATGTGTAGTCAGGTAGTAATCACAACCACCCTTTGTGGTGCAGGTACTACTATCATTCCCATTTTACGGGTGGTGAGTAAATGGAGGTTCAGGAATTAAGTAGCCTTCTCTGGGTCACATTAGCAGTGCAAGGATTTAACTTAAGGACTTTTGGGTCCATAGTCTGTCATCTTAACCACTGCCAATAAATTCATTTATTCCACAGATGCTTACTGTGGAAGTAGCCAGTTGCTACTTTGTGAATGGATTGTGTCCTTCCCTCATAAATCTAACATTTAGAATTAGCAAATAATTAGTACAACTGTTGCAGGTGTTAGGAAGCAAAATAAAGTAGAATAAGGGGATAAAAGTGACTGATGGGACTTGTTAGTGTTTTAGAGTGGTCAGGGTGGGCCTCTCTGAGGACATTTGAGCAGAGACCTGAATCAAGCAAACTAGTAGTTGTCGGTGGAAAAGCCCCAAGCTTGGAGTGAGACAGTTCTCCATGCAAACCACTTATCGGATATGTGGCTTTGGGCAAGTGACTAAACTTCTCTGACATTCAATTTCCTCACCCATAAACCAGTGATAATCTACACTTGCCTTGCAGAGGTATGAGGAAAAGGGAGAAGTATGTATGTAAAGGACCTGGCTTAAGGTCATTTCTGGCCTAGGCCCACAACAGACATACATGCAGCGAGTTCTATGCTGCCCTTCTCGCCCAGCCAGGAACCTCCCTTCCCCCTCGCCACCCACCTCCCCAGCTTCCAAAAACCTGCAGACTCCCATGGCCCACTCACGCTCCCTGCTGGCAGGATACGGCACTGCAGCTGTCCTTAAATCCTCCAGTTCCTTTCCTCGCCTCTTCGAAAAGCCTTACCTGGGCACTCACCGCCAGCCAGTCACCAGGGACGGAGATGAGTGAGAGACCCTCTCCGGACCCTCCAGGGGCTCAGAGCCTAGGGAGTGGGCCCAACATGAAAACAGCAACAACCCAGAGAGGAGGTACCGGCATCTAAGCAACTACAGGAGCATGGTGACAGAATGATTAAATGTGCCCACGAAGGATTAGGGAAGGCTTCATAGTGGGTGACTCCGAAAGTGACCTTGAACAATGAACAGGAAGTAGGCACCAGGGGAGGTATTCCATCCAGGCAGGGAGAACATACAGGCAAAATCAGGGAAGTATAAAAGAGAATATTAATTGGTTTGAGATCCTCTATCTGACCAAGCCACACTTCTGGAATTTCCTGCAAAAGTAGCTTGGTTGAAGAATAAAACTGAAGGAAGCTGGTTCCCAGGACCCTCATAAAGCTCTACTATGTACCATCTTGGGAAAAACAAATGCTTCTCTCAAGAAAAAGGTTTTTTTATCCTGAAGGAAGATAGTGTCTCATGTACCCTATGTTCCCACACCTGGTCTTCCTTACCCTTCAAGAAATACCCCATCTTGTCATCAACTGACAACCTTTGCAACCTTGGCCAGGTCCCTTCCCCTCTGTGCCTCAGCCTCCTCTTCTGTGGAGTGGGAAAATTAACACTTATGTGCATCCTTCTCAAAGAGCCATTTGAGTTACGAACTACGAAAGCTCCTAGTGCTGCAGCAGGAAGGACCCAGGAGACGCCAGGCCCTGAGGGGGCACCCTGGGCAGTTGAGGAAGGAGCCAAGGCAATGCTACAGGTTCTCACACTCCCATGGACCAAACGGCACCCCTGCCACCCACTGCTCACAAACCCCCATAAAAGTCAGGGATCCATGCAGTTTTGTTTCAGGTGTTTTATTAAGTGGGCCATACTGTAGCTGGTTTCTAGGTTGCAAAACAACATAAATTTAACAATAATAACATAGCCAGTTAGACTGTGACAAGCTTCTTCCTTCCTTAAAAAAAAGAAAAAAGAAAAGAAAAAGATTTAAAACACAAAATGGAGGGTTAAATAAATAAGAGGAAAAAAAAGGAAAAGAAAACCTGTTAAAACATGCTTATGTTTACTTCTGTGCAGCTGTGTGCCAAGAGGAAACGTGATTTTCTGCACGATGGTGCATCCTGGCATGTCTCCGTTCCAAATAATACTGACAGAAAAAGAAAAGATGTGGGACTGACTCATCGGTGCTTGCAGAGGCACTACTAAAAATCCCTTTGATTGGAGCTTGGGGCTTCCTGCTCAGCACACCTGTGTGTGGCCCATGAAAGCCAAATATCCATAACAATGTTAATATAGAAAACATTAGTTTAAAAACAACGTGGGATGGCCTCATGCCCAGGCGGGGGTGAGGCAGCAGAACTGCCTGCACCGTGCGCGCCGCAGGCTCAGTCACGGGAGGCCGCAGGCTCCCAGCACGCGGCCATGGCGAGGGAGGGCGCCAGCTTCAAAATAAGCGGCACCAACCTCGTCTCCCTCTCCCTAGCACTCTTTCACATGAAAGTGTGTAAAAAGCAAATCAGCAAATAAACTCTAAAATAGATTATTTATTCCAAAAATCCTCTACTTTTCTTTTTACAGTGAGTGTACATCTCCTGTCTCCTGCACAACTTGCTTAAATCCCTTGGGAAGAAGGGTCAGAGCTGCAGGGTGAGTCTCTCTCGGTCCTGTTAGCTGGTGCTGGGAGGTCAGATGTCGATGCCCTTGACAAGGGATGTCTCCAGCGTGATGTTGAACTCCTGCAAGGTCTGCAGCACGCGGATCAAGGAATTGACAAGTGTGTGGTCTTTGATAAGCGCCACATCCTCATACATGTGTGCAGTGATGGGGCAGTCAGCCAGCAGGGCAATCCAGTGGTGTAGGAGGTGATCTCTGGCAGGGAAGGATCAGTCCGGATGGATCAGAAGGGAAGGGGAAGGGAGACAGTTAGTACAAGGCCAAGGGGGAAACTTGCTCCATCACTTCTTGAACAAAGTCTGAAGCCGGAGAAGTGGACAGCTTCCCCTAGCCCACTCTCCCTCCCATCACAGTGCTTGGCAAAGACACCTTACATGGCTTTAAACGGCTCCTACTAGGTACTACTCAGCCCCAGGGACACCAACCCAACCTGACCCAAAGTGACCCATTTACCTGCCACCAGGTCCACACCTCCTCCCCTGCCTCCCCCTGCCTCCCTAGACAAGCCCACCACCAAGCAGACACCAGGTCCAGTGAGCACCACCTCTTCCATCTCAATAGCCAATCTGTCCCAGAGCAGAGATTAAGTAGTTTGTCCAAGTTCAGATGGCTAGTAAGTGGCTGATCTGAGAATGTGAACCTAGTCAATCTGGTTCCAGAGTCTGTTTTTAACTACTCTGCCAACTTCCTCCCTTCCTTGGCCCAAATGAACTACTGCCTTAGGTTTATTTGGCCTTCACACTCTCACCTGACCCACCGGACAGCCCCTAACAATCTTGCCCACTCTGATGTATATCATCCATGGTATCAAATTCATATCATTTCAGTCCCCTGATTAAACAACTCTGTCCTAATATGGAAGGATTCTCTGCCCCAGCTCCCCGAGGCCTCTATCCTTTCAACTGTTTCCTACGACTGCTCTTCCTTCTGTTATTTCCTAACCCCACATCCTTTGCTTCCTTTGGGACTTCTCTGCTAGTTCTGTCTGCTTCAAACTCCCTCCCTACTTCTACCCTTCCATTAAGGCTCACCTCAAATGCCACCTCCTCCCTTCTCTGATCTTTCTCCTCTACAGCTTCAGCATAACTTATGAATGCATGCTTCCTTTTGGCACTCTCACAACCTTCTGCTTGATACTGTATTTAATTAGGACACGTAAACTTTTAAATGGCAAGGACCATGTTTTATTCAGCTCATTCCCCCTGCCTTCTATAATGCCTGGCGCATTCAGATGGGTGCTGAAGGAATGACTTGATAGACTCTGCTTCAAATTCCACCAGTGGAATGGTTTTATTCCTTCCCATCAAAATGGGCCCCCACACACTCTCATCCCCACCCCTCCATATCCTCACACATATGCTTCGTACATGGAAATTAAGGGCCTCCAAGGCCTCACCTGCCCAGGGGCATCTGGTCATTAGCCACTCCCACCCCCTGCCCCATGTTAGGCCCCAGCACCACCTCCAAGGCTGGGTGCTGTGCACTCTGGGCCATGAGGCTGCAGTACCTGGCTCCCAAGCACACCAGCATCTGAAACTTGCCGTCCTTGCCTATGTTCCGGGGAGTATTATTGATTGCAGTGACAAATCGGCAGAAGTTCCGGGCCCTTGTATGCCAGTTTTCCTCAGGGACAAGTTCGTTCTGCTCCAAGGTCTCATAATAGGTTTGTGCTTTTTCTGTGAAGAGTAGAAAAGCTTGCCAATGACAAAGGCTCACAAAACCAACCTATCCCTAACTGTCCTGCAGGCCACTAGCCATGGGTCTCTCCATGTTGATGCAGGTAACTTAATGTAACATGAATGTTCTGATCTGACATCACTGGTCACATTTCAAAATATAAGGTCCCTATTCTTTTTTTTTTTAAGATTTTTTATTTATTCGAGAGAGAGTGAGAGAGAGCACGAGAGGGAAGAGGGTCAGAGGGAAAAGCAGACCGTCCCCCGCTGAGCAGGGAGCCCGATGTGGGACTCGATCCCGGGACTCCAGGATCATGACCTGAGCCGAAGGCAGTCGCTTAACCAGCTGAGCCACCCAGGCGCCCAAAGGTCCCTATTCTTATGTTTTAAATTTCTGTATGTGGTCCTTGATATAAAGATGGTTCTTTCCCTAGTCTGAAGATTAAAAAAAGAAGAAGAAGAAGAAAGAAAAACACTCTTGAGGTAAAAGGTTCTTGCACGAAAATTCTCCAAAAAATCCAGTGGGTACATCACAGGGCTTGGACTCCAAATACTATCAACTGGCCTTTTGGATCTACAAGGAAAAAGTGTGAGGACTTGTTTCTAAGTCGTCAAGAAAAGCCAGAGCAAACAAAAACAGATCTAATTTGAGAGTCAGCTGGTTTGGCTTCTGGCCGTCAGACTCCAGTGGTCAGCACCCACATTGTGTTGATGAGTCCCCATGTCTCTGCATGCTTTTCCCACCCTCACACCCTGGCTCAACTCACCCAGGAAATCCCAAATGAAGACATTTTTGAAGAGCCGGGGGGATTTAAATCCATGCTGGAAAGCCTGTTCCAGCGCCGAGACAAGGCCACATTCTCCACAGAGCAACAGCGTCAGACTGCCTCGCTATATAAAGAAACAAGAGAACGCCAGGCTTGCCTCAGCCAAGCTGCCTTCCCGCCACTGCTTCCCCAAACCCACAGTCCACAGCTGGGGAGAAGCAAGAGCCTGGCTGGGACCTTGTCTATCTCCCCAGCACCTGGCACGTGAGTGGCACAGAGCAGCTCCCAGGGCACAGCTGCTCAATAGAGGATGGATCTGGGTCCCCCCAAGAGGGACAAAGCCAGAGTGACCACTGCTCAGGGAGATCCAGGCAAATCCAGAAGAGGATAGGAATATACACTGTTCATTAGAGGCCCAGGGACTCTGCTGGGTCATTAGTATGTAAGGAAAACAGGGTAACCCAAGGCAGAGGCCCCTGAGGAAGGAATCTGCTCAATGTCAAACTGAAGCACATGACCTAGACTCTGGGTTGTCCACACTATATGGGCCTGGAGAAAGATTATTCTCTCTTACTCAATATAAAGCACTGGGTTGGAGGGCAGGAAGGCTCACCTCTTTCTCGGGCTTATGGAAGTGCTTCACGATGCCATTGACTGCCTCCCCAATGGACTCCTGGATCTGCCCGGTGTTCAGCTCTGATAAAAATCAAGCAGACAACCCTAACCAATCTCAGAAGCTAACAATGCTTAGCTGACTGAGCACAAGACTGAGAACACAGGAAGGGCTCATGGGAGAGGCAGGATAGCCTGGACGCTAGGAAGAGTGGCTCTTGCCCATCCACCTTTGTTGACGTAGCCCTTGCTAAAATCTTGGGGGAAAAGCAAAAGCTAATACCTCAGAGTTCCATCTCTAAGAGAGTCTGGTAAAGTTTATTTTCCATTTTACCCTGGAACTTCTGGCAACCAAAAGAGGGCCAAGACTTGGCTGTGAGGCCCAGGAAAAAGGAAGGAGAAGGCCAGAAGGCAGACCCCTATCCTCTCTAGAATCATATATAAATAGTACAGAGGATACAGGCCAGGTTGCATGAGCCCTCCCCTCTCCTTCCAGGCGTCTAAGGAGTGTGACACCCACCCACCCCCTGACACACACACACACACACACACACACACACACACACACACACACACAGATTCATGAGAAGAGGGTGACAAATGCCTGCGGCTGCTTTCTTGTCAGAAGTGGTTCCTGAGGCAGCTGCACAGGCTGGGGTCTGGACTCCCACATCAGGGTTCCCAAACATCTGCCCACATTCCCCACCTGGGTGGCATGAGGGCCCAGCCCCTCCTCCCACTTACTGGGCTTGTTGTTGGGTGAGATGGTAACGAGCCTCCGGATGACGCTGGGGGACTGCTGCAGGGGTGGGGTCCGGCACGGCCTCTCATCCACCTCAGGCTGGGACGTGAGCAACTCCCCAACCAGGACCCGCTCCAGGCTCCCATCATCTATGCCTTTCCCCAACCACCGACCACATGGGAACCTAAAGGTCAAGCAATGGCTTGTCAGAGCTGCCAGTCCCTCCAATGTCCTTCCCCTTGCTGCTCAGCAAAAGCCATCAAAAAGCCAATCCCTGGAGACAGGCTCTCAAACCAGGCTGGGGATCCCTCAAGGCCCTGTTCATCCACCCCACTGTGCATCATCGGGGAAGCCACCTGAATGATGGGTGGCCTGGAACCTGTGTACAGCAACATCATACGTCTTAGCTTGGAAAACCCCCCTTCTGTTTCTTTTCAGGTGCATGAGGCAGAGCCAAATAGTCTACCACGACCTAAAAGGTCTCCTTGAGAACTCCACATACCCAGGCATCAAACCCAGCCCCTGGTATACCTTGCCCCACTATCTTAGGGCATAGCTGAGGGAACACTTACTTGTAGGTATGTCCTGTGATCTCATTCCTGACCATCACATACTCCACCAGCCATTTGGCATACAGCCCAGAGTTATCATGGCCTATCTGTACCGTAGTGAGCTTTCCCAAGTTCTGGCACTGTGAAAAAAACAGCCAAATAAAGAGGGCGGGTAGGTCAAGAAAGTAAGAGAACAGAGAGGCACTACTCAGAGGCACAGATCTGACTGGCTGCCTGTAACCTGGCCCCTTCGCATCTATAGGGAAGAGCTCATGGCTCTACCTACCACCAAGGCTGGTGGTACAGCACTCTCATGATGGGAAATGACTGAGAAAGACGCTACTATCTGCAGAGAACAGGGCCTACAAGCAGAAGGGTCTGGAAGTGGGACAGCAGTCTGAGATTCAGAGGTCTCTGTGAACACTTGGGCTCAGCAACTGAAAGAACTCTTGGGGATTTCTCAACATGCCATGGGCAGGGAGTTATGCAAGTCCAGATGGGGTAAGTGCCTTCGAGTCAGAGACCACTTAGACAGGGCAGGCTCCCCCATTCTTGGGTCAACCCTTGGCTCCAGCCTCTGATCATCTCAGGACAGGTCAAGTGTGCTAATACATTAATAGTATAAAAGCAAGACCACCATAAAACCCTGCAGAAAGCTCCCATAAACAGCCATTGCAAACTCAGATCCCGAAAGAGCCTGGGGTTGTGATACCTAGATAACACATACCTCAAAGGTCATCTCTAACACATTCCTGGGAATCTGCAGGATCTGTGTCTCACCCAGTTCTCCCGAAATGCAGATCCATGGATTGGCGGTGAACATGGAGCCCCCCAGCTTCTTGCTCGGTACAATCAGGATATGGTATGGGATCACTGTTTGGGGGAAGCCACAAAGGCATTGAGGGAGATAAGGAATCCCTCCCATACCTGAAAGGGCCCTGACCTGCCTGCCCAGGTGTGCTGGCATGCTTGCAGCCCCTGCTGTACTGGCCCCAACAGAGCCAGGAACAGCAGGTCCCAGGACCTAGTCTCTGGCTGGCTTAAAATATTAGCCAGTCCTACCCTCAGTCTCTCTCCTCTCAGGGTTACCACCCACCCATCAAAGATCCAAGCCCATCTGCAGGCTCAGAGGCTAAGCGAATTTGTTCCTTAAATAATATCACCAACTCCATGTTGTACTGAATTGCTTTTCAGAGCACTTTTCAATCTATCATCTTGTGAACTCTAATAACAATCTCCAGAGAGGTCCTATAATGCCTTTTCTGAGGCACTGAAAGGGAAATAGTTTCCGCTGAGTCTCCTAAGTTCCAGTCCAGTACGGCTTCTCCAGCAGCCTACAACATTCATCCCAGAGAGGGAGGATGGGTGTCATACAGAAGCAAGAGTCCATGCTGCTGAGGCTTCTGAGTCACCCGTCAAACAACTAACCATGGGGCAAATTCAGAGACTAACCCCTAAGGAAAAGAGCATCCTGGTACCAAAGAAAGATGAGGCTCCAAAAGCCTTCTTTAGACCATACTGAACCGTCCTTCCTCATGCTGCAAACAGGGAGACAGGCCCACAGCAGAGGTCAACTCTGCTCCCAGAAACCTAATGAATTAGGGCAGAGCAGAGCCTGGACCCAAATCTCCCACCACAACCCGGAGTTCTGTTACTTCAGGAAGAGTCATTTTTCCCTGTGTGCTGGTCTGAAACCTTCTAGGATGCTGAATCACTCTCTGAGCCCAAAACAAAAGGGAGATTTCTTTACAGGTGTGCAAAGAGGGCAGTGAACTTCACCACACCACCCACCTCTACTCCACCTTCACTGCCTTAGGCCCCCAGGGCAGTGCCTAGAACAACAGTGACAACATGATGGCCAAAAAGACTGAGCTCCCCAGTTCAGAACAAGAGTAAGAAGCTTCAGAGAAAAAACAACCTCCACAGAGGGCAAATGTACCTCTCTCCTACAGAAGCAAAAGGCAAATAGAAAGTACAAATGACAATCTTCTTTCTTTAAAAAAAGGGACAGTGAGCTAGCCTTATGCAGGCTCATGAAGACTGGCATTGAGAAGGCTAGTGGGGAGCACAGGGCTACTCACGGATAGTTGTGAAGACATTGGTGAAGCAAAAGTAATCGACGGCATTGAAAGAGAGGAGGTGATAGAGGAACTGCTCCTTCTCGTCGTCACAGCGCAGGAAGGCATAGCGCTTGTACAACTTTCTGTCGGAGAGGAGGCAATACATCAGTCCCCCGGCCAAAAGGAGGGGAAAGAGGCTAGAATTACTCAGTTCTGGAAGGAGAACGCTAAGGGAAGAATAAGACGTCAAGCTTCAAGTTCTGTAGAGTCACCTAAAAAAGGAACAAAGCCAGCTACTCCATCTAAATGAGGCCTAGAGGGAAAGTGGCTGAAACTACAGCAGAAACAACAAAACCAAACTCTACCTGTGTCCAAGCATTGATGTTACCACAATGCAGTGTCAGAAGTCATGGGATCCCCTTTCCTAAATCCCCACTTCCAGGGGCTGGAAGTGTCACCCTTCAGGGATGGCAGAGGTCCTCTCAGGCTTCTAGCTAGGGGCATCACCCCAGTGTGTGGTGTGGGAATAATAACGGCAGGAGGTCTGTGAACCCCAATCATTACCAGGGCCAGCCTCAGACCCTCAGCAGACCTAAGACCCATGAGTCAAAACACTGCTCTGAATGTGAATGTAAGCCCAGGACAGCTTGAGTCAATAAAGGGAATGATCCAGGTCACAGGCAAGGAAGAGCTACATACATCATGTCCTTCCTCTCCTTTCAAACTTTCTCCCATCCCCATCCCCACCCCCACTTACTCATCAAAGGCCAACTCCTTTGCCTGACATTGTAGACCCTCTCCAACAGCAATGACACCTTCCCCAAATAGAGGGGGCATGAAGAGCCAAGTGCACAGGCCTTCAGCACAGAGAAAAAAAAAGAAGGTAACTGTCCTGGTTGCCAAGATTGCAATCACTGTGGCCAAAGAGATGGATTCAGTAAATCTCTGAAGTTTTACCTATAAGGTACACCCAAGAGATTAATTCACCATCCAGGGCCTACAATGTACAGGTGCTGGAGAGGGAACACCTATCCTCAAATACAGTCCGGGTGAATAAATCAGGTAAAGGCCGTGGTATAAGACTGCCCATAATGAGCTGCCAAATGAAAGGCTCTCTGTGGGAATTTAAAGAGCCATAAGCCTCAATGGTCCTAGATGAGGAGAGGCCTAAAGGACAGCACGAATTTAGACAGATCTTGCAGAAGAAAGAGGACAGGGTACGGAAACCAGTTTGGCTGGAGCTGAATGCTCAGGGAGATGACCAGTTAGCAATGAGGCTGAAAGGCTGGGCTACAGTCAAATGAAGGAAGGCCCTAAATAGTCAGCCTAAAGAGTTTGCAACTTGCCCTACAAGTAATGGGTTTCTGCAATTTACCCTGGAAGTAAAGGGAAAGCCACAGCGGTTTCAGAAAATTTAAATTTAGTGCATCTGAGGAGTGAAAGACTGAAACTAAGGCAGTGGCACTAGATAAGAAGACAGGTGGAGGCAAAGGCAAAGGACCTGGACGTGCATGTGGAAGGTAAAGCAAAGCAAGGAGTCAAACTGGACCCCAAGTTTCAAACTAGGTAGGGAGGAATGGGGGTGTTCAGGGAGAAGAGTGGCAACATTAACAAAACACTGGAGAGAAAGGTAGTTACGGTGAAGAATTCTGTGAAGCTTGCTTTTGTTCTGTCTGAACGAAAGGTAAGATACCTGAATGGAAATAAATGCAGGACTGGAGCTCAGGAGAAAGTCAAAGCTACAGCTTCAGATGTGCAAGTCACATGATGGGTTACAGAAGTCATGACAATGGGTGAGACCCCTAAGTGAGAGAGAAGTGTGAAAAGAACATGTGTGCATGCAGAGAACTGAGGACTGGAAAGGGTAGGGGAGAAAGAGATCATAAGGCCATGGCAGCCATGCAAAGTGAGTTTTGAGGTAAAGGGACTACTGCACAGTAAGAGTCACTGCAGGGAGGTCAAGGAGAAACAGTGTGAGCTCAATATATAGAGCTAACTTTTCCCCTAGACCCTACAGCCCCATTAACCTGCCTCGACCTAACCCCCTTCTCCAAGCTGCAAACAGTTTTGGAGGCTACCTGGAAATCCCAGAGCCTCAGGAACATTCTACCAAGATACACTCTCCAAGGCTGCCCACCTCCCCTGTCTGTGCAGCTATGCACACATTTTATGTGCCCAACTGAATACCTACTAAGTGCTAGGCAACATGCTCATTCATGCCCTCAGTGAAAGCAAATTATAATAAGCAGCAAGCAACTAGATAATAACAATACAGCCCATCAGTGTTGGGGCAGGTTTGAATAAATACCGTGACAAACACTATGGGTGCCCAGGGGAAGAATGAACCAAGTCTCTGAGGTGTCTAGACAAACTCTAGTGAAAAAAACTTCTGACTAGGCCCTGAAAGGACTAAAGACATACTGAGAAGGGTGAGTAGTAGTATGATGTGGCTGGAGCTTTAAGCAGACTGAAGAGAAAGAGAAGAGAGAGCAGAATGAAGGAATAAATAGGTTTTGATGAAGGGCCCCTTTTTTCTCCTTACACCCCATCCAAAATGCAATCTGTGGCAGCAAAACTCATCTTCCACTCACTGGAGTAGCACTGGGGCCAGACTATAAGGTGGAAAGTTTCTAGTACTGAGTAAATTCTGAGCTTATCTCCTTTTAATGGGGCTACAGTTTAAAGAAACCAAAATTAGTCTCCTGACCAAGGTCTGTGGCCTGGGCCTTTAGGCTCATACACACCCTAGACCCAGCCACTGTTCGGGATTTCACAAAGTGCTTGTGCTTGACCCCCTTTCAGATGCCTCCCTATCCTCCTGCTGGTGACACCCATTGGAAACACTCCTGGCCCTATCCTGCTACAATGGCAGTTTCTTTTTCTTAACCACACACAACTGTCCCCTAGAATCTGGTGTGCACACACTTCCCTTCCAAAGGCTTACATGTTCACTTGTTCTCTTTTAGTTGTTCTCCCAGTCTTCAAATTTTATCCCTAAGCCCTTTTGTCTCTAAATCAAATTTAAGTGCTTTAAGAACTGCTGTTTAACCTCTCAAAATGACCTCTCTAAGTTATCAAGGTTTTAAACCTAGTTCTTGCTATGTTTTACATACACAGTAAACAATCGAAATCATTATATTTTCACTCTGAATAAAAACAGATACTGCAGGTTTAATCAACTGGCTACACAAAATTTCCCCAAGGCCTAGTCCTCTGCTTTATCACATCCTTGGGGAAGTCAGATAATAAAGGACATCGTGAAAAGATGCCTAAGGAAATGCTAAACAAAAATGTCCAAGAGGCTTGCCAGTGAAGAAAGAGCCAAACATAGACAGGAAAAGTGGAGAGGTGGTAGGCCCGAGAGGCAGAGAAGAGGGACAGTCCTCCTTTCCACTCCTCCTCTGGTAGCTAGGGTACAAAAAAAATACAAAGAATATCAAATCCAGAGAAGGGAACTGTAGGTTTAATGGCCCCTGGGAATGTGAGAACCATGGAATCTCTCCTCTTCCTCTTTCTAGGTGGAAAGCGTGGAGGGAGGGGGCCCCTGAGAGCCATCGGAAAGCCCTTTTAAGCTGTAGGGAAACTAAGGAAGGGTCCAGAGACGAAGTGGAAGGATTGGGTTGTTTTGGGCTGGCCCTGGCCTCAGAAGAGAACAAAAGAGATAAGGGGATATCTTAGAAGTTTCCTTTTCACTCCCTAGTCCTTTCTTCCCCAGGACAAGAAAGAGACCAAGAAAATGCCCTGTGCCTAAGAGGTATACAAGTCTCCTGAGTGCAGTAAGGAGAGGGGAGCTCCAAAACTCTGAGGTACCCAATAAGGACCCCATCTTTCTCACTACCTCTTTATGAAAGCTATTTGGGGACATACAAATGGAGAAGGTAGGAAGAACAAACAAATTTTTCTTCTATAGTTAAAGAGGGAGAAGAGGAAATGCTACAAAATCTTCATATGCAATTTGAGTTTAGCTGAATACAGCAGAAATGAAATAGTGAATAGTCTCCCTCCTCACACAGGGGTTTCCAAACCCTCCCCACCATTCCTGGGAGCCTGGTTCTACTCCAGGTGGAATGGCCTTACTTGGTGAGCTCATGGTCTGAGAGAAGCTGCTTCAGGTGTCTGGAAAGTAACTTTTTTTCCATGGATAGTCGCACCCATGCTCTGGCCTTCCCCACATCAGTCTTGATTTCCCCGATGTTCTGGATGTGCCTGAAGGGAGAATGGGAAAAAGGAGGTGGGGAGTGGGGCAGAAGCAGAACTCACTACCAATACCTCCCCCTGTAAAGCCAAGCAGGCCTGGTGAGACAATCCTATCCCATCCTGGTGACAATCCAACTCTCTTGTTCTCTAAATCCTGGGCTTCCATGTGGCTTTGCAGAAAGGCTCACCACAATTTGCAAGGGGTGGGGGGTAGGGGCGGTGACAATACAGCTCTCAAAAAAAACCAGGCAACCCCTGGAGCCCTGTGATACTCGGGTATAATTCTCTGAAAATGTCAGGAAACTCAACTGCTCATACAGCTCTACAGCTGCATCATGAAGCACAAGACCAATGACGAGGTCTTCCTGGTTAATGGAGATGCTGTAGAAGCCTACGTCACTGAGACCCTGCTATGTAAAGTAGACACCTAAGAAGCAACTGAAAACAGGCTTTTAGTGGCTTAGTATATATGAACCCAGACTGACCTCATATCCTGAATGAGGGAGATTCTCAGGGGAGACATGACTGAGCTGGCATCAGACTTCCTCCGTTCTGAATCAAGAAGTATTCCTAGAACAAAAAAGCTGGTCATGTCCCAAGAGATCTGACTATCCAAAGAGCTGACTCTTCGTACAGGGAATAGTTGGTTACTTTGGTAACAGTTTCATGAATATTTATTAACTACTTAGTAGGTATCAGATGCTATACTTTTATACATATTATCTCATTTAATCCTCTAACAACTAGATAGCCAAGGAAGGTATCACAGAGAAGAAAACTGAAATTCAGAGAAGGTAAATGCTTTGCCCTAGTTACCAAGTGGCAAAGTCAGGACTGGAGGAAACACAAATTTTCTGGCTCCTAATCCAGCATGTTGTCATCATGCATCCACAGAAGCAGTATTCCCATTTGGAGCTACTACTCATGTCCTGTTCTTGCCTCAAACTGGGCTACAAAAGAGCCAAGGGACTGTGTAAAGAACATGTCCCAGAATGTTTAGGATCTCTAGATACAACACAAGCATACCACATTTTGTTGCACTTTCACTTTATTGTGCTTCACAGATACGGTTTTTTGTTTGTTTTTTGTTTTTACAAATTGAAGGTCTATGGCAACTCTGTCAAGCAGGTCTACCGGCATCACTTTTCTAATAGCATTTGCTCACTTCGTGTCTTTGTGTCACATTTTGGTAATTCTCACAAAATTTCAAAATTTTTCATTATTATTATTATATTTGGCTTTTTTAGAAGATTTATTTGAGAGCGAGAGAAAGCGCACACATGAGCATGCCAAGAAGTACAGGAAGGAGGGGGGCTGCCCTGGAAGGGGCACTGCAGAAGGAACACCAGACCAAGGGGCAAGGGCCTGGCTCCTAATCTGGCCTCTTCCATGAATGCAGTATGTGATCTTGAATAAATTCAATTCCTCTCTAGATCCCAGTTTCCTCCTCTTGTAAAATAAAGGGGCTGGGCTAGATCATCTCTGCGGTGCCTGCCAACTCTGATATTTTTATTAAATTAGAAATGGAAAAGGGGGTGCCTGGGTGGCTCAGTCATTAAGTGTGATCCCAGGGTCCTGGGATCGAGCCCCGTATCGGGCTCCCTGCTCAGCGGGAAGCCTGCTTCTCCCTCTCCCACTCCCCCTGCTTGTGTTCCCTCTCTCGCTGTGTCTCTGTCAAATAAATAAATAACATCTTTTAGAAAAAAAAAAATGGAAAAGAAAGGGCAGCTGGGCTGCTCAGTTGTTAAGCGCCTGCCTTCAGCTCAGGTCATGATCCCAGGGTTCTGGGATCGAGCTCCACACTAGGCTCTCTGCTCGGCGGTGAGCCTGCCTCTCCCTCTGCCTGCCGCTCTCCCTACTTGTGTGTGCTCTCTCTCTTTCTGTCAAATAAATAAAATCTTTAAAAAAAAAATGTAAAAGAAGTGTTAAGAGATCATTCACATTCACTTGACTCTGAGGAGTTCCAAGGTAGGACACAGGCTCTCTTAACTGATAGATGATCTCAATGCCCATCTCTGAGGTATAAAACAAAAAACTCTAAAGACAACCTGCTCCAAACAGAGGACACCAGTACCACACAAATTCATTAAAAACCTAAATTCATTCTAAGACTGTCCTCTTGTTGATATAAATCTTCTAGCTCACTGATCAAAAGGTACAGAAACAGGGATGCCTAACTGGCTCTGTCAACAGAGCATGCAACTCTCAATCTTGGGGGTCATGAGTTCAAGCCCCAGGTTGGGCACAGAATTTACTTTTAAAATGGAGGGGTATAGAAGTACATAACGAAAGCAAACCCCATGGCTTTGGCACACTCTGTGGTTCAGAGAGCCAAGTAGCTTAATATTTAAAAAAGGAAACATTACACAGCAAAGGTTCTAATGACCTAGAATAGTCTACTGCAGATGATCTCTCCAATGGGGGATGGGAAAGTGGGTGGAGGGGGTTCTCCCCAGTGGTGTAGAAACCATCTTACCTGAGGTACTGAGGCTTCCTGATGTGAGTTTTCTTTGCCGGTTTTCCTGATAATGTAACAGGTGGGACCACAAGGCTGATTTCCCCTGGAACCAACACAAGGGAGAAACACCTATCAGTTTAGATTTCAGAGGCCAAGGCATCCAGTGAAGAGAGTCACAGATAATTTTAACATACAGATATGAGCTTTTACTAAAAAGTATCTGTACTGTTTCCTTATCTCGATGTACACCCAGATGCAATGTATACAAATATATCACCCTACTAAAATGCAGGGGAAATATAAAAAAGACTTGAAAGGAATAGAAAAGAGAAATGGTCCACCACTTCAAACAGAACATGGCTAAAAAGAGTCTGAGAATGGACCAGTGGATAAGAAAGAAAAAAGCAAACAACCTATCAACTTCTAAGCTGGTTAAAGGCCAGCTTGGGTAGAGCATGATGGCTTCTGTCAGAGGAGCTAATATCCACTCTACAAGATTCTACGATAGCTCCTGAATTTCCTAAACATTTAAAGGCATTACTGCCCTTAGTGTAGGCTGAAGAGAATAAGCTGTCACTAAGATGAGGATTTACTATTGAAGGTAAAAATGAAGAGGCCTGCAGGAAGGTAGGCTGGTATTTAATTGTAGCTAATATAACAGAACCTTAGCATTTTGAAATATAAGAGTTGCGGTTTAAACTATTTGAGACATGTAGTAATTTGTCATTTTACCAAGGCACAAATCTGATTAGCATTTGCAAGCCTGAGGTAAGGGAGCAATTTGCCTTCGTGGTAAATGAGCCCAGCTGGCAACCCAGCCACTGCTTTGTCTCTTTCTAGTCATCCTGCAATACACAGTGCCCTTTGTTATGTGATAAAAACTTTATTTTAAATTCACGGTAAATGTTTCTATATATCTGATATAACGTAAGTGTAGTATTATGCTTTTTTTTAGTAGTAGGATTTATTATAATAACTTTATAAATGTAAATCTATATTTCAGAGAAGTGATAGTAATAATAATAGAAGCTATGTCCTGAGACTTGCTACAAACTAAGCACTATGTTAAATGTTCAAAATATAATTATTTAATGCTCTCAACAATCCTACAGGATAGGTACCTCTATCTTCATTCTCCTTAGAAAGGAGCAAATTGAGCATGAGAAAGATTAAGCAACTTGTAAAAGATCACAGATAGTAAATGAGTGTTGGGATTCAAGCTTCAATCCATCTAATGGCAGAACTATTGCTCCCAATAATGATACTATATATAGACTGCCTGGAAGAGATCATTTAATTTATGAAGTTATACATTCTGAAGAAAATTTTATGCTCTTGGATGAATGTGAGGATTTAAGGTCTCAAGATTTGTCCCTTTAGAACACTGAGGATCTATTTTGTTTCTATCCATTTGATAGATTCTAGGGAGAAAAAATCAAGCACTTGAATGGAAGAAAATCCTCATCTATAGACCAGAAAGCTGTTAACATAAACTTGCTATATGTTTGGATATCCTGCAAGATTTAACCAACTTTAAAAAAAGGGGGGTGTGCCTGGGTGGCTCAGTCAAGTTAAGCGTCTGCCTTCAGCTCAGGTCATGATCCCAGGCTCCTGGGATGGAGCCCCGCGTCGGGCTCCCTGTGGGGAGCCTGCTTCTCCCTCTCCCTCTGCTCACCACCCGCCAATCGTGCTCTCACTCTGCTTTCTCTCTCTCTCAAGTAAATAAATAATCTTAAAAAAAAAAAAAAGGATTTAACTAGCTTAAAACAAAACCCAATAATCATAATGGTATTTTTTTTATAAAACACACAAGGTAAAACTAGAAAGGACTTTTTTATTCATTGAGAAACCAAATATTTTTTTTTAAATGATGTTCAACAACATCAATGAGACAACTTCCACACACTAACTGGCACATTGATACAATATATGAAAGACAATACAAGAGCTTAAAATATTCACACTCTTTGATTTAGTAATTCAGCTTCCAGAAATCTGTCCATCCCTCTACCAAAATGGTTAGAGTAGGCTCCTGAAAGGGCAGGGACTTTGGTTTATTCATTACTGTATCCCCAGAATCCAGGAAGACTAGAAAGGCAGACGTGTATGAATGTGACATACACTAAGTACAGCCAGTCACCAGAGGGCCCTCACATGCAACGCTGCTGAAGAGCCAAAGGCTAGAGCAGCACCAGCCTGCCATGCCAGAAGGACGCCCTGGCTCACGGTGATTTCACCGGAGAGAGAGCAAAGGCAGGAGTGAGACAGCAGCACTGGGCTGAAGCTCAGGGATAGGGCACTGGGGACTTTCTAGTTCAGGAGCTGTGATTATTCTTTTTCCTCTTTTGCACAGAGGCTGATTGAGATTGCAAGGTTCAATTTAGTCTAACTACCCATCTGGGGTATTATATAGGAAAAGCAAAATACAGATAGCACCAGATTCTCCAAGGATGTCATACACAGGTGAGAAACAACCCATTTTCACTTACCCAAAGGGCAGCAGTTACAAAACCAGTATGAAAAACCAAACCTCACCTCTTATTGTTAGAAGAATATACTAGAGAAGGATGCCCATCTCCTTGAAAAATGTCACTGAAAGCCAAAGAGAGTTGTGAACAGTCATGGCCAATAACAAAATTTAGGAAGCTAGCAGCAAAAACTGCTATTTCGGTTCTCTCTACTTTCTAAGTAGATTAAAACAGGTAGTTGATCAGTAAGGTACCCTCAGAAGGGGCAATAAGATCACTCACTGATAGTGAATTTGGTCACAATCTGGGTGATTGCAGGATCATGCATAATCTCCATGATGGAGTCCAGGTAACCAGGTTACAGAACTTCTGGACTGGAACATAACCAAAGAATGTCTCACCAGGAGAGAGGTGCTCTACACACACGCTAGCAAAGTGAAGGCCTAAGGAGAACATGCAGTAAAAACCCAGCAGAGAGAGTCACAGTCAATCTGCAGCTGACCATGCATGCATCCCTGAGGGTATTAACACCCTGCCAAAAAGCACACACCCTTGCTTCCCTCTGCTGACAATGTCAGTGCTTCACTTTCCATGCTCCAAATGCAGGATTCAGAACAAAATGGGACCCCATTATTTTGTGTTAATTTCTCACTGAACAAGTAGCCTCTATCTATCCAAACGGAGAAGGAACTCAAATGGGCTCCAAAAAATATTCCCTCTATTCTATGGGAATTTTTGCAGAATATGGCTGCAAAGCCTCAGAGGACAGGTTTAGAACATGTGATGATAGGTATTATTTCTTAAAATGCTTAAGGATAAGGCTCACTAACTCTCTAGAAATTTTTATGGCAAATAAAGTTTGGAGAGGCATATATTTTACCAAAAAGCTAAAGAGCTCAATTTTAAGTGTCAGGCTCACTCAACTTAAAGGAAAATGATAAAATGATTATGTATATTCTACTCATTTGTTATACAGAAAAGGAAAAAAACAAATTCTTCATGTAGAGCCTAACATAATAGCCACCATATGTTATATACCTACCACATGCCAGGTATTTATTTTTATTACATCTAATTATCATAACCCTCAAAGGTAGATTTGATTAATTCCTATAGTATGGATAAAGAAAATGAGATTCAAAAATCACAAGTTACTGGAAGTCATCCAGCTGAGCTAGGATTCGAATCCCAGTTTTTCTGAATCCAAAGCCCACAGTATTGCTATTATACTAGAGGATTCTCAATATTTTAGGGAGGTGATACACAGTTTTTAGCATTAAAAAAATTTATTAACCACATTGTTTATAATACTGAAAAATCAGAAATAACCTAAATAACTAGTAATAAAGAACTGATTCAAACATGGAAAACGTATACAATGGATACAGTAACTAAAACTGAAATCTGAGAAGAGTAATAATAACCACAAACATTTACAGAGCACATCCCAAATTCCAGGCTCTGAGTTTAGTGCTTCACCTAAACTATCTTAGCAAATCCTCACAAGAATCCTATGGAGGTGGGTACTTTAAAAAGTCCATCATATACAGGATGAAAGAGAAGCTTAGAAAAACTAGGAATCTTGATCAGTTTCATAAAGTTATTAAGTAGGAATCAAACCCAGGTCTATCTGATTCATAGTTTGAGCTCTTAAATACTTACTATAGTACCACCTAAAAATTAGCTAAGGACATGGAAAATATGAGGTAAAAAAAGCAAGTTACAAAACATTATGTACAGTATGATCCGATCCTGATTTTTAAAAAGTTTTACTGAGATATAATTCACATTACTATAAAATTCACACTTACAAAGTACACGATTTTGTTACAAAAAAAAAAATCTGATTTTTAGTACGTTCACAGAGTTGTACAACCATCATCACTACCTAATTTTAGAACATTGTCATCACCCAAAAAGAAACCCCATACCCATTATCAGTCAGTCCCAATTCTCCTTCACTCCCATCTCTGATATCCCCTCATCTGCTTTCTGTCTATGGATTTGCCTATTCTGGACATTTTATATAAATGGGATCATACAATATGTGGTCTTTTGTGACTGGCTTCTTTCACTTAGTATGTTGAGCCATGTATCATCCCTCATTCCTTTTACTGCTGAATTATATTCCATTGTATAGATAACCACATTTAGTGTATCTGTTCATCAACTGATGGACATTTGGGTTGTTTTATTTCTGGCCTATTAGGAATAATGCTGCTATGAACATTTGTGTAAATGTTTTTATACAGACATATGTTTCCATTTATTTTGAGTACATAGCTAAAAGTGGACTCACTGTGTCATATAACACTATGTTTAACACTTTGAGGAACTGCCAGACTATGCTCCAAAATGGCTGCACTGTTTTACATTCCCACCAGCAATGTGTGAAGGTTCTAATTTCTCCAGATCCTTACTAACTTGTTACTGTCTTTTTTATTTTAGTTATCTTAGTGGATGTGAAAAAGTATCTCATTGTGGTTGGATTTTTAAATATCCATGGTATGTGGGTACAATGTGCACAGAAAAATGTTTTGAAGGACAGATATGGTAGACTGTCTCTATACCCATGACAACGACACTCCAGAGGGCAGAGATCGGGGTGCCTGGGTGGCTCAGTCGTTAAGCGTCTGCCTTCTGCTCAGGTCACGGTCCCAGGGTCCTGGGATCAAGCCCCACATCGGGCTCCCTGCTCAGCGGGAAGCCTGCTTCTCCTTCTCCCACTCCCCCTGCTTGTGTTCCCTCTCTCACCGTGTCTCTCTCTGTCAAATAAATAAATAAAATCTTTTAAAAAAAGAAATTAAAGTGCAGAGATCTTGGTGTGTTTTGTTCACTAACAAGCAAGTGCCTGGCACACTGCCAGCCCTCAATAAATACTTGCTGGATACTTACATGTTTTTCTAATTTATCCATATTAAAATTGTTTTTTTTTAAAGTTTACTTTAGAGAGAGAGAGAGAGAACACGAGTGGGGAGAGGGCAGAGGGAGAGAATCTCAAGCAGACCCCCTGCTGAGTGCAGAGCCCGTTGCAGGGCTCAATCTCCATGAGATCTCATGGAGCACGACCCATGAGATCATGACCTGAGCTGAAATCACGAGTCGGACACTTAACCGACTGCACCACCCAGGCGCCCCTAAAACTGTTTTTGAAAAGATTTCAAGTTCTCTTCAAATTTAAAAATGCATAAAAGTAAAATTGTCCATCTTGACTATTCCAAATAGAGTATTCTGAAATAAGGAAATTCTCTGGTATCAAGCAGTAACAATCAAACTTACTCAATTTCCTGCAGGCCTTTCTCAAATCTTTAGACAGTTAAGCTATCTGTATATAAAAGAAATGTTAATGACAGAACTTTTTCCACTGGGAATGTACAATTAGTGAAGGACCCTTAGAGTATTATTTATGAGCTCCAAGTTCTTTCTTTTGTGTCCCATCTCCAGACCAGGGCCAGTTGCCAAAAAGGATCTATCAAGCTGGCCTTTAGCTCTATTTACAATAAGGAAGATGCCACTCTAAAAATGTCTAACAAACACACAGATTCATGAAGCATATTTTTTAAAGAAAATAGTCTGGATCACATTTATTTACTTATTTGTTTAACTATTTCAAGTCTCACCCCACACATGGCATGCACCATTTTTCAAAGCCAGCCAGCTGGAAGAGTGTGGGAAAGCTAGTAAGTGAAAAGAGAAAGACAGTTTACTCAGCAGGGAGAGTCTAGACATTCCTTACCTGCTTTACTTGTAGCCCATGACTCCAGATCCTCTCTAGGAGGTCACAAAGGCTGGCAATCAAGGTGTTCTCCTCCACCCCTGTGATGTTCACCTCCCCGTGCCCTAGTTCCACAGCCTCTCGGCCCATCTTCTCCACCAGCATCCTCTTGGTCTACAAGGAATCAGTCAGTAGGATTAGATAACCACAGTGAGCAGGATCACATGCAACTAGAAAGGGCTGTGGTGACCCATACAGCACATCTGCTGGGCCGGGAAGGACAAGATAGTAAGACCGAGAGACATAAAGTATATTTATTCCCCATCATATAGGTCAGGTTCTGGTGGAGTACATTCTTTAAAAGTTCAGTTACGGGGCGCCTGGGTGGCTTAGTCATTGAGCGTCTGCCTTCGGCTCAGGTCATGGTCCCAGGGTCCTGGGATCAAGCCCCACATGGGGCTCCCTGCTCAGCGGGAAGCCTGCTTCTCCCCCTCCCACTCCCCCTGCTTGTGTTCCCTCTCTCGTGGTGTCTCTGTCAAATAAATAAATACATATAATCTTTTAAAAAAATAAAAGTTCAGTTACAAAGATGAGAACACAGCAATCACTGTATGACCATGAGCAAGTGATACCATCACTCTGGATTAATTTTTTGCATTTATGAGATGAAAGAGTTGAATAAAACCATTTGGTCACAGTCACTTCCGACATTCTCTGTTTCTCATTGTTTAACTGATCTTACCAAACAAACCTGCAAGCATTTAAGGTTAGAAATACATCTGACATACCTGTCAAGGGGATCAAAATTAAGGACAAATAATTTACTTTGTTTTTTCTTTCTTCCAAGATTTTATTTAAATTCAAGTTAGTTCACATATAGTATAGCATTAGTTTCAGAGGTAGAATTTAGTGATTCATCAGTTGCATATAACACCCAGTGCTCATTACCTCAAGTGCCCTCCTTAAGCCCATCAATCAACTACCCCATCCTCCCACCCATCTGCCCTCCAGCAACCCTCAGTTTGTTCCCTAGAGTTAAGAGTCTCTCATGGTTTGCCTCCCCGTCTTTATCTTATTTTATTTTTCCTTCCCTTCCCCCTATGTTCATCTGTTTTGTTTCTTAAATTCCACATAAGTGAAATCATATATTTGTCTTTCTCTGACTTATTTCACTTAGCATAATGCCCTCTAGTTCCATCCACGTTGTTGCAAATGGCTGAGTAATATTCCATTGTACATATATACACATCTTTTTTTTTCCCCCCCAAGATTTTATTTTTTTGTCAGAGAGACAAGAGAGGCACAGAGAGAGCACCAGCAGGGGGAGCGGCAAGCAGAGGGAGAAGCAGGCTCCCCGCTGAACAAGGAGCCCAATATGGGACTATGACTTGAGCCAAAGGCAGACACTTGACTGAGCCACCCAGGCGTCCCATCACTTTATTTTTTTAAATTTATTTTATCTTTTATTTTTTATCCTAATTCCAGTGTAATTAACATACAGTGTTAAATTAGTGTCAGGTGTACAATACAGTGATTCAGTAGTTCCATATATCACTCAGTGCTCATCAAGAAAAAGTGTACTCTTAATCCCCTTCCTCTATTGCACCCATCCCCCTCCCACCTCCCCTCTGGCAACCATCGGTTTGTTCTCTACAGTTAAGAGTCTGTTTTTTGGTTTGTCTCTTTTCTTTGTTCGTTTCTTTCTTAAGTTCAGCATAAGAGTGAAATCATTTGTCTTTCTCTGACTGACTTATTTCACTTAGCCTAATACCCTCCAGATCCATCCGTGTTGCAAATAGCAAGATTTCATTCTCTTTTCTGACTGAAGTAATCTTCCTATACATACACACCATTTCTTTTTTATCCATTCATCAATCGAGGGACACTTGGGCTGCTTCCATAATTTGGCTATTGTAAATAATGCTACTATAAACATAGGAGTATATATATCTTTTTGAATTAGTGTTTTTTGTATTCTTTGAGTAAACACCCAGTAGTACAATTGCTGGAACACAGGGTTGTCCTATTTTTAATTTTTTGAGGAACCTGCATACTATTTTCGACAGTGGCTGCACCAGTTTGCATTCTCACCAACACTGCACAAGGGGTCCTTTTTCCCTACCATCCTTGTCAACACTTGTTTCTTGTGTTTTTGACTTTAGCTATTCCGACAGGTATGAAGTGATATCTCACTGTGGTTTTGATTTGCATTTCATTGATGATGACCATCTTTTCATGTGTCTGTTGGCCAGGTGTATGTCTTCTTTGGAGAAATGTCTGTTCACGTCTTCTGCCCATTTTTAACTGGATTATTTGTTTTACTGGTGTTGAGTTATGTAAGTTCTTTATATATTTTGGAGACTAACCCTTTATCAGATATGTCATTTGAAAATATCTTCTCGCATTCAGTAGGTTGCCTTTTTTTAGTTTTGTTAATTATGTCTTTTGCTGTGCAGAAGCTTTTTATTTTGATGTAGTCCCAATAGTTTATCAAGAGACATATCTAGAAAGATGTTGCTATGGCTGGTGTCAGAGAAATTACTGCCTGTGCTATCTTCTAGGATTTTTATGGTTTCAGGTCTCACATTTAGATCCTTAATCCATTTTGAGTTTATTTTTGTGTATGGTGTAAGAAAGTGGTCTAGTTTCATTCTTTTGCATGTAGCTGTCCAGTTTTCCCAACTTGTTGAAACTTTTTCCCATTGCATATTCCTGCCTCCTTTGTCAATAATTGACCAAATAATCTTGGGTTTATTTCTGGACTCTATTTTGTTCCACCGATCTAAGTGTCTATTTTTAAACATAGCACCTATTAACAATAGGTTATTGTGCACCTTAAAATATGTTAAGAGAATAGATCTCATGTTAAGTATACTTACCACAAAAACAAACAAATCCCACAAAATAACACAAGGCAATTTTTGAAAGTGATAGATATGTGTAGTGATAGATTGATTATGGTGATAGTATCATGGGTGTATGCATATGTCCAACTTGTCAAAATGTGCACATTAAAATATGTGTGTAGGGAGCACCTGGGTGGCTCAGTTGTTAAGCGTCTGCCTTTAGCTCAGGTCATGGTCTCAGGGTCCTGGGATCGAGTCCCTCATCGAGCTCCCTGCTTGGCGGGAAGCCTGCTTCTCCCTCTCCCACTCTCCCTGCTTGTGTTCCCTCTCTCGCTGTCTCTAGCTCTCTCAAATAAATAAATGAAATCTTTATTTATAAATAAATAAATAAATAAATAAATAAATAAAAATATGTGTGTAGGGACACCTGGGTGGCTCAGTCGGTTAAGCTACCCACTCTTGATCTCAGCTCAGGTCTTGATCTCCGGGTCATGAGTAGGTGTGGAGTATACTTAAGAAAAATATGTGTCATTTTTTGTATATCAAGTATACCTCAATAAAGCTTAAAAAGATTACTGTCTGTAGAATTGAAAAAACATCCCAACAATAAGCTTAAACTGAACACACTTTGGCCTGGCACATAATTGGCACCCAGTAAATTCTTGTGTCTAGATAATGATATTACTGCTATCAAATTAAAACAGGCAAAAATATTTTCATGTGTGTAAGATTAATGTGTTGAAGACTATTCAACTACAAGGACTTCATGTAAGAAATGTAAGATGTCTAAAATTGAAAACTACATCCATCTCTCAGTTTTAAAAAATACATATTAAATTAGTATCAAGCAAGGTGTGCTTGCTCTCCAGTAATGGTCTATTTATATAAAACAAATACACCTAATTCCATGTTAACAGGATCTTAAAATCAGTACTATCCCATTAAATTAACAGTATTTTTAAAGCCAAGGAAGAGTGGTCAGAGCTCAGATGTGGTCTCCCCTTGGCTGCCAAGGAAAAGAGCACACATTCACGAGCAACCATAGCTCACCTTGTTGCGGCATTCCTTCAGCAGGCCCTCTACAAATTTCCAGTTGGTTTGAGCAATCACTGATGGGGAGAGGTTGGACAGTTTGGGCTGGCGGATGGTACTACCCATATTTCTGGCTTCCTGGATGTACTTCTACAGCAAACAGAAAAACCAAAGGCTCTTTGGATCCATGCACACAAACCACAGTGGCCAGTACTAATGAGAGCCTGAAGAGGGCACTACTATCACCCCACATTTTCTTACTGCCTCTTTCTTATGCTCACAGTCGGAGGTGGAAAGCTTAAAATGCAATTCTTGCAGCGAAAAGAAAAACTAAGACAATATGGTAAGTTTTCTCTGATGTAAGGCATTTCATGAGTACCGTAATTACCTTTGCTTTAATGATATAAGAGGTAAAGAGCACATGGCTAACACATAGCTAACACATGGCTGCAGCACGTAGAGCTCAGTGTACAAACCCACTCAAATTTCAAAGTACTAATGAGAAACTCATTTTCTCCACCACGCTGCAAGGAGTTTAACTCTTGCGTCCATATCAAAAATATCTACCCTTACTATCATAGAGTATAGCCTTGCTAAATTAGGGCCTGGAAAATAAGAGTGCACATTCAAAACAACAACTGCATCTTCTGTTTTTTTTACAATGTGCTGGTGATTCTCCATATGCTATCTGTTTTAACATAGAGCTCACATCAATTCAGTGAACTGCACACTGACATCCTAACAGCAGCGCAAGTTCGCAACCAATATTTTTACCCTAGACTTTATTCCAGTAGTACAATTCTATCCATTCTATCTTTTGGTCCTCAATCTGCCCCTCCTACCAACCCCCAAGGTTAGGCTTCAATTCCTTCACCTGGACTACTGCTACCTGCCTCCTAGTTTGTTACCTACCTCCTCTCCTTTACTCCAAAGTATTCTGTCCACAGCCTCCATTACACAACAACTACCAAGCGTTTGATCCTCCATTTCTTCTACTTGAATGCTCTTATTTGTCTCTCACAATCCCATCATCCTCTAAGGCTTAAAGAGATGATGGCTCCCTCGATCTTGTTTGAATACTACCCCAGGTAGAACTGAGCTCTGATCATCAGAGATCAAACACTGACTTGCTTCTCATATGGCCCTTTCCAAAGACTATTCTACTAAAGTTATTTGTGTATCCGACTTTGTTCCCTTAATAAACTGGTATTCCCTGAGGACAAGCCTACCTCCCCTGTCATCTTTTTATTTCAAAGTGCTTACTACACTGATTTGACCAAGAAAACATGCTCAATAAACACTGCTAAAAAAAGTAATATGGAGGTGAGGTGGAAGACCCAGGGGACACTTCTAAAATAACACCAATACCCCAAATCCCTTATGCCACCTTCACAAAAAGTCCAAGCACAATCATATTCTTTAAGTCAGCAGTTAAAAATTCATAACCAGGGCACCTGGGTGGCTCAGTTGGTTAAGCGACTGCCTTCGGCTCAGGTCATGATCCTGGAGTCCCGGGATCGAGTCCCGCATCGGGCTCCCTGCTCAGCAGGGAGTCTGCTTCTCCCTCTGACCCTCTCCCCTCTCGTGCTCTCTATCTCTCATTCTCTCTCTCTCAAATAATAAAATCTTTAAAAAAAAAATTCATAACCATACCTTGTAATTCTAATTTATTCCTTTGAAAAACAGCAAAGACAAAATGGTATTTGTTTTCCCATTCACTGAGGTGCTAGACACATATGAAAACAATATGCTTTAACAGGTTTTAAATGTATAAAATGTAAATTGCAGGGTCCTTTCTCAAAGAGAAGTTCCTGAAATGGGATTCTGAAGGTGAAGCTCCATTTTCACAACTTCTCTGCAACTAAGTAATGCAGGGTCTCCATCCTAAGGTTTAGAACTAGAAACTTCACTGGGAACAAGTTACAGTAGAGCTAAGAAACTCAGCTGATGAACTCAGGAGGTCAATTCAGGAATCCCTAATCCCCAGGCACCTGATGATAACATTCCTCTCTTTTGTTCCTCTAAGAAAAAAAGTCAAGATTACCTGATTTAAATTAAGATACATAAAAAACAGAAGAAAAGCTCCCCACTCCCCAATTTCAGAGATTCACAGTATTAACTCAAGTCCAGCTTTTCTTCCTTCTCATTCTAACAGAATTAACTTCTTTACTACCATACTACACACACAAAAAGCCTCACAAATTTTAAAAGTATTCTCCCAAATTTCAGACTCTTATCTTCTGAGGTTCCTATCACACTCCCCAGAGATCATACATGACTGAGTACTGAAAGGACAGTGAAAGGCTCTCTTCTTAAGCACGGACATCATACCTAATGGGGCTACAAACAGGGTGTGGCTCAGGGAGAGGATCTACATGGTTAAAGGCTCTCTTAAGCACGGACATCATTCCTAATGGGGCTACAAACGGTGTGGCTCAGGGAGAGGATCTACATGGTTAATAGCCAGCTGTCACTTGCAGAACATCGTACATTCTGGATTTGTCATAATCAAGGCCCAGTATCAGGTATCAGGAATTAACCCTAGTATTAACCCTTCTTTATGGGGGGAGGTCATTGCTAAGACATTTGAATTAGATCAGAGGCCAAGGAAATGGGAAAGAGAAGGAGAGTATAAAATAGTCATAGTGTCAGTTTGTCACTCTTAAGGTGTCTTACCTCTCTCTGGTCATTATCTAAACGCAGGTGTTCTGTGTGCTGCTTCTGCCGATCTTTCCGCCTCCACTGGGCAGGGGCATTCCTTTTTGTCCACCTGACGGAATCCAAGCAGGCAAATTATGAACATCGCACTAAAAAAGTAAGGTCAAGTTACTGACAGGAGAGAACCTGAACATCTAGGGAATAACACTGGGCATGGAAAAACCACCAAAAAGTCACCAGAGATAGCTAAGAGACCTTGAATAAAAGGAGCTTAGACCTCAGTGACTAGACAAGAGAAACTCCTCAGGGAACATAGACATAGCTCTCTTAAAACATGTACAAAAACACTTCATATGCAGACCCAAAACTATACTCATTCAACTTTGTCTGGGCTTTGATACACTCATCTCCAAAAGTAAATAAAAAAGAGCAACCCTGCTAAAGTAATTACTCTCAGTTCAGACTCCAATTATTTCAATTACCACTTACTGAAGATACAATGCTAGCTAGGTATGGTATGGAATTTAGCTGAGAGATGACAGCAACCTATCTGCAGCCTGGCTTTCTGCAGCTGCTGGGCATGTGGAGCTATCCCAATTTGCAGAGTAGAGACAGGAATTAATTATACTTTGTCACCTGTATTCTTGTTCAAACAAGTGAACAACCTGACAGTCTGGGTCTTTTCCATATTTGCTTTACAAAATTCCAGGAGTCTTCTATCAGCTCAGGCCCAGACACTGGATAGCCCTTACCACCTTGGTTAGGGAGCTGGATCAGGGAATCCCTGGGGTTGACTCACTTGTTGCTGGCTGGTCCAGTGGAAAGTACATCAGACTGCAACTTAGGGAAAAAGCCCGGCTCATACTTCCCTTGTCCAATCTTCATGTCAAGTAAATGGGGGTGAATCGCTGTATGGTCAATTTTTGCCAGACGCAGTTCAATTGCTTTCTCTGGAGAACAAAAATAAGTCAATTTTTTTTTTAAATATACCATATTTTAGGCCATAAAATAAGTCTCAATACATTTAAGATCATTTGAATCATACAAAGTATGTCCTCTGACCACAATAATCAATAATAACATCTTAAAACTAAGTAACACACTTCTATATATAACTCATGGGTCAAAAAGAAATGAAAAGAGAAAGTTTTCTGAAACTGAATAAAGATGAAAACATAAAATATCAGCATATGTCATTAAAATATTACTCAAAAGGAGATTTACAGCACTAAATACCTATTTTAGAAAAGGAAGGTCTCAAACGAATGACCTCAGCTTCCACCTTAAGAAACTAGAAAAAGACAAGGAAATTAAATCCAGAGCAAATACAAGAAAGGAAATAATAAAGGGCAGAGTAAAATCAATGAAATAGCAAACAGAGAAAATTAAAAATCCAAACACTGGTTCTTTCAGAAGATCAGTAAAACTAATAAAAAAAAGTCTGGTCAGGATAAAAAGGAAAAGACACAAATTAACATTATCAGGAATGAGGTGACATTGCTACAGATTCTACAGCTATCAATAAAGGAATATTCAAATAATTTAATGTCAACAAATTTAACAATAGGTTAGATGGCAAAATTCCTTGAAAAACACAAATTGCAAAAGCTCATTTAAGAAGTAACAGATATGAATAGCCTTATACTTATTTTAAAAATTGAATCTATAGTTTATTTTTTATTTTATTATTTTAGTAGGCTCCACACCCAGTGTGGGGCTTGAACGCATAACCTCGAGATTAAGAGTCACTTGCTCTCCTGACTGAGCCAGCCACGGATCCCCGAATCTGTAATTCAAAACCTTCCCACAAAAAACTCCAGGCCCAGATGGCTTCCCTGATGAATTCTGCCAAACATCCAAAGAAATAGTATCAGTTACACAAGCTCTTCAAGGAAACTGAAGAAGAAAGAATACTTGCCAACTTATTCTTTGAAGCTAGCATTATCCTGATACCAAATCTGACCAAAGTATTACCAAAAAAAACTATGAACCAGTATCCCTCATGAACATAGATGCAAAAATCCTAAACAAAATTTTCGTAAATCTAATCCAATAATATTCAAGAAGGATAATACATCATGACCAAATACAGTTTATTTCAGGAATTCAAGTTGATTTAACATATTCAAAAATCAATGAATGTCGGGGGTCGGGGGATGGGTTAGCCTGGTGATGGGTATTAAAGAGGGCACGTTCTGCGTGGAGCACTGGGTGTTATGCACAAACAATGAATCATGGAACACTATATCAAAAACTAATGATGTAATGTATGGTGATTAACATAACAATAAAAAATTTAAAGTAAAAAAAATCAATGAATGTCATTCACCAAATTAAAAAACTAAATCTAATAACCATATAATTACCTCAACAGATGCAGAAAAAGCATCTGACAAAATACAACATCCACCTCCGATAAAAATTCCCAACAAACTAGTAACAGAAACAAATATCCATCTAATAAAAGATATTCACTGAGGGGCACCTGGGTGGCTCAGTCAGTCGAGCATCCAACTCTTGATTTCAGTTCAGGTCATGATCTCAGGGTAGTGAGATTGAACCCCATGTCAAGATTGCGCCCCATGTTGGGTTCCGTGCTCAGTGGGGAGTCTGCTCGAGATTCTCTCTCTTCCTCTCCCTCTGCCCCTTCCCCTCCACGTGCTTGCTTGCTTTCTCTCTCAAAATAAATAAATCTTAAAAAAAAAAAAAAAGATATCCGTTGAAAAACCTACAGCTAATATCGTACTTAATGGTGAATGCTTTCCCCTAAAATCAGGAATAAGACAACAATGTCCACTATCACCATGTCTATTTGACACTGTAGTAAAAGTTCTAGCCAGTGCAATATGGTAAGATAAAGAAATAAAAGACATCTGGATTGAAAAGGAAAAAGTAAAACTATCACTATTTGCAGGTAATATGATTATCTATGTAGAAAAATCTGCTAGAATGTACAAAAAACTACTAGAAATAATATTGTACAGTTGTAGGGCACATATCAATATACAGAACTCGTATTTCTAAATATTAGCAATGAACAATCAGAAATTAAAATACCAAAAAATATGACATACTTAAAAGATAAATATGACAAAAGATATGCAATTTGCACAGTGAAAACTACGTAACACTGCTGAGAGAAACTAAAGAAGACCTAAATGACCTAAATGAATGGAGAGATATGCCATGTCCACGGATCAGAAAACTCAATAACGTTAAGGTGTCAAATCTCCCTAAATTGATCTATACATTCAAGGCAATTTCAATCAAAATCTCAGAAGGTTATTTGTGAAAATTGGTAAGCTGATCCTATATATATATGAAATACAAAGAACCCAGAATAGTCAAAGCAACTTTGAAAAAGAAGAATAAAGTCGGAGAACTAATATTACCTGACTTCAAGATTTCATATAAAGCTACAGTAATCCAGACAATGTGGTACTGATGTAAATGGAGACTAAAAGATTAATGAAACAGAAGAGAGAATCCAGAAACAGACCCACATGTATATAGATCACGGATATTTTGACAAAGGTTAGAAGGCAATTCACTGGAGAAAGGATAGTCCTTGCTGGCTAATGGAACATAATTAAAAAAAAAAAAAAAGATATTCTTTTCAACATATGATGCTGGAACAAGTGGATATCCACATGGAAAAAATGAACTTGGATCCTTAGCTTACACTATCTATAAAAATTAACTTGAAATGGATCATAGGCCCAAATATAAAGCCTGAAAACATAAAACTTCTAGAAAGAAATAGAAAAAAAAAATCTGTGACCTTGGTTAAGCAAAAATTTCTTACATATAATAATACCAAAAGTAATTTTCTCCCTAAGGATTTTATTTTTAAGTAATCTCTACACCCAACATGGGGCTCAAACTCACAACCCTGAGATCAAGAATCTCATGCTCTACCAACTGAGCCAGCCAGGCACCCCATTTTTTTTAAAGATTTGATCCATTTTTTAAAAAACTGATAATTCAGTCCTCTTCAAAATTTAAAACGTTGTTCTTAAAAAACCACTGTTAAGAGAACAAAAAGACAAGCCACAGAGTAGGGTCAATATATGCAAATCATATATCTGATAAAGGACTTGTATCCAGAATATATAAGCAACTTTCAAAACTCAAAAAACAAACAAACAAAAAAACCCCAAAAAGGTGGGGGGGAGACACTTCACCAGAAAAGATGAAATGAATGAATGGCAAATAAGCAGACGGAAAAATGTTCAACATCATTTGTCATCAGGAATACCCAAATCAAAACCACAATGAGGTATCACTACAAACCTAGTAGAATGGCTAAAATGGAAAAGACTGACCATAGGCAATGTTGGCAACAATGTAGAGTAACTATAACTAACTGTCATACACTGCTGGTGGGAATATAAAATGTACAACCAACCACTTTGAAAGACAATTTGTCAGTTTCTTTAAAAAAGTCAACATACAAATATCACATGATCCAGTCATTCCACTCCTAGGTATTCATGCAAGGGAAAGGAAAACATGTAAACAAATGTTCATAGCCCAAATGCCTACCAACTGGTAAATAAACAAACTTCAGTAATATCCATACAATGGAATACTACTCAGCAATAAAGGGAATATGAATGAATCTCAAAATAATTATGCGGAGTAAAAGAAGCCAAACTAAAAAACAACAACAAAAACATACTGGGTGATTACATTTATATAAACCTCTAGAAAATGAAAACTCTAGAGTAGCAGAACCATAGCACTGGTTGCCTCAGGATTTGGGGAGAGAATGGGGAGGAGACAGGTTGGAGGTATTACAAAAGGCCATGAGAAAACTTTTGAGGGTGATGGGTGTATTTGTTTGTTCTTGATGTAAATTTAAACATACATCAAAATTTTAAATATGTGCAGTTTTCTTATATGTCAATTATACTTCAGAAAAAAATTTTTTAAAGATTTTATTTATTTATTTATGAGAGAGAGAGTGCACAAGCAGGGGGAGCAGCAGGCAATGAGAGAAGCAGGCTCCCCACTGAGCAGGGAGCCTGCTGAACTCAATCCCAGGACCCCAGGATCATGACCTGAGCAGAAGACAGACGCTTAACCGACTGAGCCACCCAGCTGTACCCAGAAAAATATTTTCTTAAGATTTTATGTATTCAGGGCGCCTGGGTGGCTCAGTTGGTTAAGCGACTGCCTTCGGCTCAGGTCATGATCCTGGAGTCCCGGGATCGAGTCCCACATCAGGCTCCCTGCTCGGCAGGGAGTCTACTTCTCCCTCTGACACTCTTCCCTCTCGTGCTCTCTCTCATTCTCTCTCTCTCTCTCTCAGATAAATACATAAAATCTTTAAAAAAAAAAGATTAAGATTTTATGTATTTATCTGAGAGAGAGAGAGAGCACAAGCTGAGGGGAAGGTTAGAGGGGAGGGAGAAGGAGAAGCAGCCTCCCCAATGAGCGGGGAGCCCAGCTTGGGGCTCGATCCCAGGATCCCGAGATCACGACCTGAGCTGAAGTCAAACACTCAACCAATTGAGCCACCCAGGCACCCCTAAACTTCAAAAATTTTAAAGAATAAGGCAGGTACCCACCTGTGAGCACAGTGAGCCCTGAAGGGTTCATAACCTGGACCAATCTGTAGGAGCCTGCCTATAGGTTGAGAGGAGGAACAGGCTCATGTGCACTTTGTTTCTCACCACACCTCCAGCCCTCATATTTGTAGCACCTCTAGGTTGGTGTGAATCATGAGCCAAGCCGGCCAATTAAAAAAAAAAAAAAATTTAAAGAGTATGAACAAAAAAAGCTGGTAACCCTCCTGGTATTTCCTAAGGGTCATATAAAAACATCTCAGCCTTTGGGTCTTGATGTTATCCTAGGTCAAGTTGCCTTCTCGTTTTGGGCCTCCCTCACTTCCTCCCGCCCTTATTCTCATTCAACAGAGCTTATTCAGTGTCTAAAATGTGCCAGGTGCTATTCTAGGCCCTGCAGATACCATGGTGAATCAAAGGAATATCTTCATCTATAAAACTAGTGGGTAAGAAGAATTGATTGCCATCAAGATCCCTTTTAAATGTAGCATTTTAAAAGATCTCCAAAAAAGATCCTTTTAGCTAACTGAACATAATAATGAAAAATTAAAAAATAAAAATTTTAAGAAAAAAAAAGGATCCTTTTAGTTATGTTTTTACCATTTTCCAATCAGATTGCTTCAAGAAGTTGAGGTATGAGATGTGAGATGGGGTGAGGTGACTGCATTAGTCCTCCAGGCTAGGTATCTGAGACCAGTGGCAAGAACCCTGCTCTCGCATATTTGGAGTACATCTCTCTAGGGCATACCTAAAATATTGCCATTATTCCTAAGAGCAGAGCATAGAGTTGCCAAAGGGTCTGTGACACCCATTTTTCTGAAATGAGTCATACAAATGAGGGTTAGGTGACCCTCCTTCCATATCCTAAACCCCACATTCTAACAAGCCCATAAGAACATGTGCTCTGGCCACAACTGAAACCAGAGTAATTCAAATCCATATGCTGCAGTGCTTGGTGTTCAACAAATGGATTACAGATGGGCTGAGAATTGATTGCCTAGACCCTTGTAGCAGATGGGCAAGGCCTCAAGTGACTAGAGCTTCTTGCTTTATAGCCTCTAGCTATATGCAAACTCCTCCCTTTATTTCAGTGAATCATATACAAATATTATCATTTTCAAGTGTAACACAACATGAAAAGATTGGGAAGTCCTGATTTAAACTGATGGCTTGGGAGATGTTTCTCCAAACCAACACTCTTTAAAAAAAATCTCCATCAAACTTCCCAGGACAAAAATCTTAGGCAGGGTTCAGGAATACAAAGCCTGATGTGTTCCAGGAGGCAAGCATGACTATGTTAGAGTAATCCACTTGCACAAGCAACATGTCCTCATGTCATTTTAATGAAAAGCCTGGAACAAGAGTTGAAAGGTAAAGAGAGAAGGCTAGAGAACATAAGTTTGACAAAGAAAGGACTATGTCCAAATCGTCACCAGTTTTGGGGCTCCTGGGTGGCTCAGTCGGTTAAGCATCTGACTCTTGATTTCAGCTCCGGTCAGGATCTCAGAGTCGTGAGACTGAGTCCCACATCAGGCTCCATGCTCAAGGCAGAGTCTGCTGTGATTCTTTCCCCCTCCCACTCCCTACCCCCTCTGCTCTTCCTCACACTCGTGTGCATGCACACGCGCACTCATTCTCTCTCTCTCTCACTAATAAAATCTAAAAAAAAATTTTTTTTTAATTGTCATCAGTTTTATCTCCAAAACCTAGAAAAATGCCTGGCACATTCATTCACCCAGTAAATATCTGTTCAACACTTACTGTATGTTGAGCATGTAATACATATTATACAATTTGGTAAATGAATGAACAAAATATACAAAAAGCCTCCAACAAGGACACTGAACAACCGACAAGGAAGTGAACACACTACTTAACGCTGACACCTCAAATGAGACTATTCTCTAGGTAAGCTGATCTAGATAGGGCTTCTGTGAACAAAAAGGTCTTTTCAATCATGCATATAGCAAACAACTTTTAACATCTATATGTGTTAGGCCAATACTAGCAGATCAAGGGCAAGAAAATGAGTAAATAGTCTCTGCTCTTAAATTTTCCCCTGATAATAACAGCTCAAACTAATAGAGATTATAGAGAAGAGGCAAGAACAAAGCACCACAGGAGCACAGGGGGGAATCCACTGCCTCAGCCTGAGGTCCTCAGAGGAACATGTCAGCTAAGTTTTTGTGGCAAATACTGTCAAGTGCCTAATCATAACTCATTCACCCCTTCTTTCTTGCTAATAGGGCCCCGATATTGTTCAGGGTAACATTATACCCAGTTCAATACTCACTTTCACAGCCTTCCTTGCACTTAAGGGTGGTCATATAACATGGTCATGGCCTATCAGACAACAGAAGTTGCTGGGAATTTCTGGGAAAGCTTTAGTTTTCTGATACAAGAGGGAAAATACCACTGGTATCAACCTTCCCCTCTTCTTGCCCTGAATGTGAACATAAAAAGCCTCTTGTAACCATGAGGCAACAAGTATGAATATAAAAGTCAATATGTTAAGGATAACTGAGTGAAAAGATAGAATTTCAGTTCTTAATTACACTGTTGAGCAACTGAACCAATACCAAAACCACTAATTCTGCATTTCTTACTAATTTGAGAAAAATAACTCCCATCCATCTAACACAAAGCTCATTAAATTCTCTATTACTTATAGCAGGATCCACTCCTAAGTGACACTGTGTGAAAGGAGAAGTTTGCCAGGCAAAAAAAGGGGGAGGCTATGGGAATAATTCACACAAAAGCAGAAACAGGGAAAGAAGTTGGCATGTTTAGGAACAGGGACACTTTAGTGACATAATCCATGGCAAGTACAGCACCAAGAAGGCCTCACCTGCTTCATCCACAGTGGTACACTTCTGGTACATGGATGTGCGGAGAGTAGGTGTCCGAACATTCAACAGCCTGATTTTGTCTACTCGGGAATCAAATACCCGGAGCACAGGGTCTTTATCATCATCGTCATGACACATGATTTTGTTGTCAATGAAAGAAGCAAACATCTGGGTCTCTAGGAACCTTGAGAGGAAGGGCAGATATGGCTCAGGCTGGTCTGACAGAAAAGATGCCTGGTGGGACCAAAAGGAAACACAGTCATTGACAGGGAAGAGCAAAGCAGGTATATCAGCCTTAACCAGCAAAGGCAACACACGCAAGGGATCCAGTAGGTTAATTTTTCTCTGAAGTTTCCTAGGTCTTTATGAAAAGCAAATAGCAAAATCTTTTCGTTTTGTTTTTGTTTTTTTTTAACACTCATATAATTTCAGATATCCTGAAACTTTGACACACTAGCCCAAACTTACTCAGGTAACCTACTGTGGCAACCAATCTTCCCAGCATCCTGATGCTCAACCTGCATGTGCACCTTAGCCTAAGAGAGCTCTCAGACTCAAGGTAAATCACCTGACGGTAATAACCAGGACTCTGTTCTAAAGCAAGATCTTATATTTCATCAACATCACAAGAATTATGAACTTGTTTCCAGCATACAATGCAAGAAAACTCATCTTCAGTTAAATATCCAAGAGGGTCTGGCATGTTCTCATTCCTCACCACCTCTGCAGCAGGATTACTCACTTTATCAAAGTTTTGCATCTGCTCCCTGTTGGTAAACCAGGACTCCTTATCCTGGCTGGGCTGAATGACAAACACCTCATAGTCTGCAAACATCTGAGTGAAACGATTTGCAAAAACTTCACGGATCTGAATGTTTAGCTGGTAAATCCTGAGTTCTTCCTCATCACACTGAACCTTCAGATCCTTATTGCTGCTGGGGTCTTCACGCACTTCCAGCTACAAAAAAAGAAAAAACAGTTGAAAATATAAGCTTTTTCTTTATCCCAAAAAAACGCAACTCATCTGTCCCCCACCTCCTCCTACCCCCCCACCCTCCCCCAACAGCGGTCATTACTTTGCAGAAAATGGAGAAACGACACAAAAGAATAAAAAAGAAAGGAATTCTGACACGCAGAAGAGAAAAATGAGGGTGTTGGCACTTGCAGGTACACAGGAACTCAATGATAGTAGAAATAAGATCATTATGGGCAGAGATTCAGCAATAGAGGAAAAGCTGCCACTTATCTCAAGGGTCAGGGAAAGGAAGAAATCTGCAAAGTCAATGAGAAAATGATAATGCAAAGCAACAAAGTCAGACTCTGCCTCTCCCGTCATCTCTTTGATTTTCTCCCCCACATCACTGATCTTATCTATCTCCCTAAGAACTTCTCCTTAATGTGTCTGTTTTAACCTCTCTAAATATTTCTCTGCTCCTCTTTAGCCATGATTTTTAAAAAATATCTGCTTTCCTAACTAAACAGAACAGAAAAATGAAATGTTTCACACTTTACTAAAAAAAATAGCCCAACAAAATGATTACATTGGCCCATTCTGCTTATATGTAATTTACAAAAATAACTTAACAGTGAGAATGGAGGAGTGTGAAGAGATGGGTAAAAAAACTACAGAAAGCTGATAGTCTCATCAAAGTCGGGAGATGGAAAGCTAACTTCAGCCTGGAAAGAGCATAGGGCTAGCATTCAGGAGGACCAGGATCTAGCCTCTGCTCAGTCACATACTAGACATTTAATCTTGGGCTCTCTTAGCCTTGGTTTCTTGAGCTATAAAACAGTGTTAACAATACCTGCTCTGCATGCTATAGGTTGCCGTGAAACTCAAAGGGCGATGGATTTGGAAGCGGTCTGAATACAAAGATTACCACTGTCTTCCCTCCAAGTCACTCTGCTATAGTGTTCACAAAGAATGACAGCAAGCTCTCCTTGATGCTCAGGTGAGAAGCTATCCAAATTTAGATTTAAATAGCATTTCCTAAGATAATGTTTGCCAGAGCTGAATCCGGAGTCTCCCATCCAAGAGCATTCTTCCAAGGCTCACAAATAAGCCTTGCCCTGGACTAGGTGCTTTCTTATCTCACACTATAATTTCACCAGGACAGCCCCCTCGTACAGACCAAACCTGTCACAAATTCATATACAGCATCTTACCTTTTCCAGGCTCACCCCAGTCCTCTTGACCAAGGCCTGCAGCCGGGCAATAGTTTCATTCTCCTTGAGGAGTTCATAGGAATGCAAAGGGGAGCCTGCGATGTTCCCATTCCTCTTGTCAGAGACAAGCTCAGAAGCCCGGAGCCTCTTCAGCTTGGAGGCACTCTCGCTGCAATGAAGGTTCCCTTCAGGGGGAATGCCAAATGCCATGAGAATCTCAGAGACTTCCTGGACAAACTCCAACTTGTTAGGAAACTGAGGCAGGTCTTCTGGCAGCTCAATGAAATGGTTGTCAATGTCCACAAAGCAGAGGTTAGCCTGGCAATCAAAACAGGATGAGTGTGAACAACTCCAGAGCATTGAGAGCATTAGGAAGGAAGGTTTAGAAAGGATAATGAACAAGAGAGAGAAGAGGAAGTATCTGAAATTGGCATGTATGAGATACAATATAAAGAAATGGGGCTCAGGAAGGAAATTGACCTGAGTTCCAATCTTGCCCTGCCACTTTCTCAGGAAAGTTACTTAACCTTTCTGATTCAGTCTCCTCAGTTGTAAAATGGAAATAAAGAGATAAAAACAGTTATCTTAGAGAGTGTTAAGGATTCTGTGATGATACAGATATTGAGCACCTAGCACAAAAGTCACACATATAGTAAATGCTCATAAAATGTTTGTTGAATTCATGAATTCTTATAGTAGTAAAGAGAACACCAGGAGTGAGTCAGAAAGTCTAGGTTCCAGACCTGACTCCAGCGAGGTATCTCCCTATATGACCCTGAGCATACCATTATCCCTTTTGAGCCTTAGTTCAAATTTGTTAGATTTGGTGGCTGGTCTTAATTATTTCTGTGCTTTGTTCTGGCTCTGAGGTTGCTTCTGAAAGGTTGTACAGAGACAGCACTGTCATACACTGTTGGTGAGGTAGGTAATATCGATTAACAAAGAAAAACTTCGCAATATCTACCCTTATTTTACAGACAAAACTGTTACAGAGAGGTTAAGTAACTTGTTCAAAGTCACACAGCTAGTAAGTATAACTGGGATTTGAACTGAGCTAGCCTGACTTTAGACATACGCTCAAGCTCTTAACCCTCTGCGCTCTTCTTAGAGGTCCCTACACATTTCTTGTTCAATTTAATTTAAATTTTTATAATTCCTGTCCCTATTGGTATTTCCTTATAGCTATAAATTAGAAAAGCCTTTTAAAAAAATATTTATCTTTTAACCATGAACCTGTCTAGCCAAGACAACTATCATTTCCTTCACTGTAGCGCATTATTATATGCTTAAGAGTGTTTCTGTTTCAAGATGAAACCAGAGAAGGAGACAAACCTTAAGAGACTCTTAATCTTAGGAAACAAACTGAAGGTTGCTGGAGGGGAGGGGGGTGGGGGGATGGGTAACTGGGTGATGGACACTGGGGAGGGTTATGTGTTGTAATGAGTACTGGGTATTGTATAAGACTGATGAATCACAGACCTGAACCCCTGAAACAAATAATACATTATATGTTAATTAAAAAAAAAAGTTTGAGAACCACTGATCTAAAAAAAGGGATCTGAAATTTGCTGAATTAATTAAACATAATACAGAAATTAAAAAAAAGAACATTTCTGTTTTATGTCCTTTAACAGATGAATGTACACACACACACACACACACACACACACACACACACACACTGGAATGTTACTCAGCCATCAAAAAGAATGAAATCTTGCCACCTGCAATGACATGGATGGAACTAGAGGGCATCATGCTAAGTGAAATAAGTCAGTCAGAGAAAGACAAATACTGTGATTTCACTCATATGTGGAATTTAAGAAACAAAACAGAGGAACATAGGGGAAGGGAAGGAAAAGAAAAATAAAGTACGATGAAAACAGAGAGGGAGACCACAAAAGACTCCCAACTCTAGGGAACAAACAGAGGGTTGCTGGAGGGGAGGTGGGTGGGGGGATGGGGTGACTGGGTGATGGGCATTAAGGAGGGCACTTGATGGCATGAGCACTGGGTGTTATATGCAACTGATGAATCACTAAATTCTACCTCTGAAATTAAAAAAAAAAGTGTTTCTGTTTTGTTCATATAACAGAAATGATAATGTTACCTATGCCATAAATTTGAGGATTATGAGAGAATAAATGTTCAGGATTTATGTGCCAGGCCCACAGTACATAACAAATGCTAATTAACACTGTTATAATTACTGTGGAAGATAAAAACTTCAATAAATGGATATCATATATAACAATAATATTAGATAGGAAAATTTCACATTGAAAAGATGCTAATAATCACCCTACTTATTTGTAAATTTAATGTAAATTTTTTTCAAAATTCCGGAAAGATTTTTTTTTGAAGGGAGTGTCTGATGAATTAATTCTGAATCTTGCCTGAAAGAATAAAATAGCCAAAAAATTTTTGAGAAAACACTTGCCTTACTGGACTCTAATATAAACATAAAATAATAATCTGCTGGAAAAGAAGAGTCTTGAACAGACCCATGTATGTGGATGGATCATTCAATAAATGTTTTTAGGACAAATGGCTATACATTTAGAAATGTTAAAATAGAATACCATAAATAAATCTGAGATAGATTGAAGATTTAAATATAAAAAATAAAGCCACTCTATTTTAAAAAGAGTATCTTTTAGAGATAGATACTGAATATATTTGATTAACATAATACTGCTGTGTGAGATTTGTTTAAAAATAATCCAGTAAAGGGCGCCTGGGTGGCTCAGTCGTTAAGCGTCTGCCTTCGGCTCAGGTCGTGATCCCGGGGTCCTGGGATCGAGTCCCACATCGGGCTCCCTGCTCAGCAGGAAGCCTGCTTCTCCCTCTCCCACTCCCCCTGCTTGTGTTCCTGCTCTCGCTGTCTCTCTCTGTCCAATAAATAAATAAATCTTTAAAAAAAAATAAATAAATAAATAAAATAATCCAGTAAAGTGAGTGAGGAGAGGGAGGTCAATACAGAAAGAAGAGTAGCCATGAGTTGATGATTATCACAGAATGATGGATGCTAGTCTCTTTACTCTTATATGTATTCATGTTTTCCATAACAAAAAGTTAAAAAACTTAAATAAACCCACAAAGTATTAACAAAACTATGAAAGATCACTGCTCTATGTTAAGGTAGAGTTGGGCTTTCTAAACTTTATACAAGGCTAAAAACCATAAAGGTAAATACTGCCATAAAAAATTAAAAGATAAACAATCTAGGAAACAGTATTGGTCATACATAATACAAGGTTCATAGCCAAAGAAATCAATGAAACAAAAATAATCCACCCAACTTAAAAGTGGGAACTCGTTATGGAAGGCAAACACAGAAGAACTTTCAGTTAATTAACTTCAAATATATGAAAAGATGGGGGTGCTTGGGTGGCTCACTCGGGTAAGCTGCTGACTCTTGATTTCAGCTCAGGTCCTCCTGCATCAGGCTCCATGCTCAGCGGGGAGTCGGCTTGAGTATTCTCTCTCTCCCTCTCCCTCTGCCCCTCCCCCCACTCACACACACTCTCTTCTCGTGCTCTCAAATAAAGCTTTAAATATGTGTGTATATACATATATACACACACACACAGATAAAGTTGTTCAATTTTGCTAATAATCCAAGAAATACAGGCAAAATACTTTTTACCTACAGGGTTGGCAAAGATCTACAAGATTTATAAAGTCCAATGCTGGCCAAATTACTAGGAAACAAACATCTCATACACTGTTATTAGGAATATAAAATGAAAACTTTCTGGGGACAATCTTAAAGACATTTTCTTCCTGGACAATCCAAAAACTAGAACATTACCAATACTTTATCTACCTATACGCTCCTCCCCAATCCCATCCTCCAACCTACACATTCCCACCCCCAGGTAATCACAATCCAGAATTCTCTATTATCTTTTTGCCCTTTGTTTTACAATTTATCACATATATATGCCTTTAAGTGTTTGTTTGTTTCTTGAATTTATGAAAGGATTACCATCCCTTAAGCAGTGTTGTGGTACTGCTATTTTTCTTCACTCAATATGAGGTCCCTAAGATTCAGCCATTTTCTTATATAGTAGCTATATGATATTCATTTTCATTCCTTTTTTTATTCATTTTCATTCTTGTATAATATTCTGCTGCGTGGATGTAGCATAATTTATTTATTAATTTTCCCATTAAAGGGCATTTAAGTTCTTTCCTGTTTATTGTTTTTACATTTTTACATGTTTTCTTGGACACATGTGCAAGATCTTCTCTTGGGTGTATCCTAGGAATGGAACTGCTGTGTTGTAAGCTATGCAAATATTCAACCTTGTAAGATAATGCCTACCTGTCTCCAAAGTGGTTATAACAATTTACATTTTTATCAGCAATCTACTGATCAAAATCCTACCAAAACTTGGTATCATCAGATTTCTTAAGTTTGCCACTGAAATAAGTGCATTTAATTTATACTTGTCTGGTTGCTAGTGAAAAAAATGTGCAATCAGGAAGCCAGGGCAAAAATGAACTATTGGGATTTCATCAAGATAAAAAGCTTTTGCACAGCAAAAGAAGCAGTCCACAAAACCAAAAGACAACCGACAGAATGGGAGAAAATATTTGCAAATGACGTATCGGATAAAGGGCTAGTATCCAAAATCTATAAAGAACTTATCAAACTCAA